CCCCGAGCCGGCGGCGTTTGGGCTGGCGCGGGTGCTGCCGATGTAACTGCACGGGGTCCAGGGAGATCGCGAACATAGAACTGTCCATTTTCACGATACAATTGTGCGCCATCTCGCTCATATGCACGATTCATTAGGGAATCTCGCTCATATGCACGATTCTTCAAGGAACTTACAAACTAGGGGCGACGGGCCAAGACTGGCAGTTTTTAACGACGACAACGATTTACACTACTTAAATTTCTACCCAGAACTCCGTACCCGCCGAAGCCGAAGCCTGCAGCTCCTGTTTTGCTTGCCAATAATTCCGCTGCGCGTGCGCTGCTAGACGGTTTACCGGATACTTGATCACCTTTCCCCATAGTTCCTTTGGCAATTCAAGGCGGCTATATTGCGGCATGCAACAGCTAAACAATATCTAGCGACCGGGGAGGATGCAGAAGCTATGGAGAGTTATAAAAATCCCTTATCCCTGGGAAGTGACCAAATCAACTGGAATCATACGAAAGATTGCGTTCAAGCTCTTAGGACACGTAGCCCATCCAACGTTTCTGTTGGTATGGCCACTTCAAAGTAAGAGTTGGGCCCTATATACACTGGCTTCCATCAGCCAGGTAGCGTGGACTAATAAGATAACTAAGATGCTAAAAATCTGGGCACTTGTGGACGTGAGTTTTAGTCGATTTAAGCGAAATGGCTGCCCGCCGCAGTTAGCCCGTATTTAGGACTGCGCGAGCTCTTTTCAGCATATTTAGCAAATAGAAATTACCAGAAACAGATTGTAAAAAGATCGATGCTTGGCTCAGTTTGCTTCGGTTTACGCTCCGGTTTCGGTGCGTGGCGAACCTTAACGACCTCAGGTGGTGAGTTCGCAAACTGAAAGGGAACCAGACCGCTCCTAACAATTGGGAAGCGTGACTCTAGTTATACTGCTTAATAAATCAGGATATTAGCCCTTTAGGTGTGTCCGTCTCGGGATCCGCCTCGCATAATCCGTTGCGTTTTGTCGTACTTCCGTCGGTGAGCAGTCATTAAGACGGCTCACAGCCCATCATTCGGGATCTTTCATTCCCACCACATTTGTGGTGGATTTCGACTAGGCAGGAGCAATACAATCTGTCTGTCTCCTTGAAGCTGCATGGCCCTTTCCTTTTTTCTCTATTTCCTCTATTTCCAAGTGCCGTATCCATAACTGGAGAACCACAAGAGTAAGGAACTGCACACAAAGGACACGAACATGGAAAAGCGCCATTCGTGCTCGCCAAGACCTAGAGAACAACCGACGGTCTTTCGCACTTCAGACGTGGAGCAACAGAAGCGGCGAAAAAATGCTGTTCAAATGCTCTTCTGAAATTTATGAAACTCAGCTTGGACTGCTCCACGTCTGAAGTACGAAAGACCGTTGGAGCCAGTCTTGTTTTCAAGGTCTTGGAGAGCACGAAAGGCGCTTTTCATGTTCGTGAAATTTATGATTGCCTATAGGCGACACCCTCGTGCAATAGATAGGGACGATCCTTACCTATTATACGAGGGTGTGTAGTACAGGTGAGCAGGTCCCGTGGCCAAACACAGTTTCCAACACTTGCCCCCCTTTCCCTCATCACCAGTATCACCCGTCTCTGTGAAATAGAATGGGCTCAGGATCGCCTTAATCGATACCAACTGAGGGCTCCGTTTCTAGTTGGGATGCTGATTTTGTTACACCAAGGGTCGAGCGACTTGAGCCAGCTACCACACCACAGAGCGCAATAACGTTGACATAACAAGCTAAGCAACAATTCGTCTTAAATAGTTACCGGACTCCGAGATGGCGCCTAAATGTCGTACAACATCTCTAGTCGCGCTTCATCAAGGCGCGCTTTCGTGAGGCGTGCTAACTACTTAACAACTAACTTAAAAACCTGACACTCTGTCGCATATGTGTCATGAAGTGAGCCTTAGCCTACCTAGAGTCTCCTGCCAACCAACTTACTGCGTAGTATGCGTTCAATAAGTAGTTGATGGTATAGCCCGATCTGGGTGTAAATGTAGCCCTTCAGATGTACAGCCAACTGCCCGACACCTCTGCTAATGGCGGCCAACTTTGACCTTCCGATAGCCAATGAAAATAGGGCCTGTACAGTGAGTGATGGGAATGGATAAAAGGATTTGGTGGGTGGGAGGAAGGCTGAAGGAAACGCGGTGAAAGAAATGTGTTTTTGGATGCTTTGATCACAGCTGGCTCCAAAACCCATCCATGGCAGATGGCAATGGATGGCTCATATACCATTGCATATGCATACAATTAGACCTTGCCAAGTGCAAACACACATATAGTATGCTACCCACCAACATGAATGGTTCTTACCATCACACTACGTTGTACTGTGTGTTAAAAAGAGTGTTGCCGATGTTCTGCTTTCAGGCTGAGTCACCAAGGGGGGCCCCCGCCCATGCATAGCCTAGAAGATATGATGAGTGCTAGGTGGGCAGGTTCGTCTAGATGATAACTAGTAGCTAGCATAGGAGGTTGATAAGGTGGTTGTGTGTAGGCTGCGCTGCTTCGAAAGGATGGCTGCAACCGCGAGGTAGGGTCTTCACAGCAGCAGTCTTATGGAGATGCACCCGGTGCCTATCACTGCTGCACTATAGTAACACGGCGTGTCCGAAATTGGTGAACTATTACTACTCTTAAACCTCTGGAATGCGAGAGTAATTACAAATACGGCCCGAAGTTAGGGTGTTTTTCTTCTCTTACAGAATATGGGCCTGAGCCCTCCCTGAGCCCTCCCAGAAAGGAAGAGATACCGCATGATGACATCTTCCGGGTTGCAAGGGACTTTGGCGCTAAGGCAAGCACGGTGGACGTGCTTACGGTTGTCCACATTTCACATCAGTGGCAACTCCGCATGCAGCAGACCTGGCCCTCATTAGGCCCTGCGATATGTCTCATGTGGTCGAGCCACTCGTGCGTGTGTAATTCGCGGACAGCTGTACAATCAACGTTGTGTCCCGTAGTGAAAGGGATTGACCCCGCTTTTCAGTTGCAGAACCCGATTAAGTAACAAGTGACGAAATGTTAGTCAAACGACTTGTGCCATTCCTTACACCCCACAATAAACGAAGCTGATTGTCAAAACCTGGTTAAGACAATGCAAACCTAGGCTATTAGTTCTCCATGTATTACTTGCCCATGTCTTCAAAATTGGCGCGCGTAATATGTGCTTCCTGTCGCATAGCTGATTGGATTTAAACAATTTAAACCAGGGTGGAGGTTGAGAACCATTTAGTAGACTGAGCAGACGATGGATCTGAAATCCAACGATGGATCCGACAAACCTTCATGCTGTGCTGAAAGCGCCATTCTCGGTGTTTTACACACTAAGTGACATGTTTGCCATCCCCTAAATAAATCCGGACCAAGGCCAGCGAGACCGGACCGAGGCTCGCGAGAGGAAGGGGAAAATGGAACCAGGATCAAGGCAAAACCCTTCCTCGCCAAGGTACTGGCCTGAAGACAGAAACACAAGGACGGGCAGGGTCCACATTATGGCAGGGGGTTTGCCGTAACTTCATTTGTCTCGCACTAATGGTGGACGGCAGACTGCAGCTAGTCGTATCGCGGAATCCAACATTCGACCGTATTCGGCATTGCTTCAGCGAGCAAGACCAGCAGGAATGCGCTGCACCAATGCTACTCAAGCTCCCGTGCTAGCCCACCAGGAAAAGAGTAATCCCATTTTGGGTAGCAAGGACTTTTAACAGTAAGAGAAGCTTGATGCACAAACGGTTGCCCACATTCCCAGCTGACAAAAGGCGAATGCAATACCGAAGACGTTCTTAAGGAAAAAACACTACATATACGCTGGTAAGCATGTAGGACTGTGGTGGAAGCGAATTTAAGACGTTTTGATATCATGGTGCTCTGTTCGGCTTTTGCTCATGCGTACGAAGTGTGACAGCAACGAGGAAAGAACTTGAATGTGGCCCAACCAAGAACAGATTCAGGACCCCGCCAACTGGCGGGTTTAAACTCCTTACACAAGACCTCCGAAACGCTCTTCCCCTTGGGAGGGATTCCCGTTCACCTGTTCGTCCTCGCTTTCCCCCTTTTCGCGCTCCCTAGCACCATGGCCGCAGGAGCACCTCTTTCCAGGTGATTCGTGGGGCGTGCTTTTATGGCTCTGTACTTATGCCATCTCACCGTTGAGGGCATGGCGATGAATCTCCTGTGCCTAACATTCACGTGCCTACCCCCTAAATCCCGTCCAATGACGCAGCTCCACACACAACATGAAACCACCCCCATACAACCGCCGTCGGTGGTTCCAAAGACTTTCTGCAGCCTGCCATCGTGCATTAGCGGCCCATTATCACAGTAAACTATTGTGTAGCTGCTAGACATATGCACGTATATCTGGAGCTCTGGCGCTGCAAAACGGTCCACATCTCGGCATGGCGAAACGTGCGTAACAGCAATACCACCGCCCGCTCCATATAGGTCAAATACCGTGTGGCGAAGTTCGTGTGCGTGCGCGTGCGGCTACTGCGCGTGTGCTTGCAAGTCACGGCTGCGGGCTGCACGCCGTACTCTGCCCATACTGATTGCCCTCAGCACCAAAGCATCATGGTCCAAGTTGATTTGCACGAGAAATATAATCAGTAAAAGTTCACATCCTACAAAGGAAGATATATGCCGGCCTGGCATGTAGCTTTCGTGCGTCAGGTGGCACAACCGAGCGGCTGTAGCAGGAGACCGATCTGGGCAGCACTCTCCCGCAGCTTGCATCCTACAGCTCGCCTCCCATCGAAAACTCCCTTGCCGTAAGCTGCTCCTACTACCCCTGCAGGCCTCAACTTGCAATGACCTGCCGCATTAACACATGGCACACGAGCTTCTTGCTTTACTCCGCCGCTTCCGCTGCTAGTCCAGCCCTCAGACTAGACTAGTCCCTGCCCCACGACCGCCCCATCCGTTCACATCCACATGCTATGATTCATGGTATGCGGCCGCGTGGCCCGCTTTCCCACCCCCAAATCACCCACATGCATACATACACGCACGCGCATGCACACATGCATGCGTCGTCGACAGCGCCGGTCCGCGGATCACGCTCAGCTGGTAAAGACGGAGCAGAAAGCTGCGTAGTCAATGGTCCCGTCCGCGTTCGTCGTCATGACGGGCGCCAGCGTGTCGAAGTCCTTGTCGTTGAGCACCACACCCACTGATGCGCAACCCGCTACCAGATCATGCCGCGTCACCCGCCCGTTGCCCGCGGAGTCAAAAGCTTTGAGCAGTCGTTGCAAGTCGCTGACCACTGGCCCAATCTTCTTCTTGAGCTGTGAAAGCAGCTCCACGCGCCGTGCCTCCTCGGCCTTGTCCTGTGGAGGTGTTTTGGAGAGGCATGAAAGGCACAAGGGCTTCTGTTTTAACAGCAAGTTGAATGGGTTCCAGGCAAGACACGAGGAGGTTGCCCGTCCAATTCAGACTTCCTAGGGAAACCGCAGTTCTGCGTTTATCACCACTGAAGGGCGCCGGAACATCCCGGGACGGGCAGAGACGTGGCCATAAAGCTGTGGGGCATCAGCACAAACAAGTTATCAATCAAACACCGTCTAGAAGTGTTTCGCGTCTAACAACGTCCAAACAAACAGCACTCTCCGCTCTCCGTCCTCAGAAGATAGTAGAGCACAGGGGATATGCACCATTTCCAGTTGCCCCAGAAACCCCGCACGCTCGATGCCCAAGGCAAGGCCGCCGCAGGTACACGAAAAAAATAGTAGAGGAAGATACAGCGGAGGTTCTATTATTATTTATTGCTTCTTTTCTGTGGGGCCCTTTCCTCCTTCCAGATGCGCTTGCAATCAGTCTCTATCAAGGCGCGGCCGGATCCGCCGAACCACACGCCGCCTCCCGCCTTGCACAACACCAACTTCCACAGGTAACCTAAACACCACACAGCCACGCTAATATTCAAAAACGTTTATTTCCACCGTACTGCCTACGCGACAACCGTTCGTTGGGTCCCCCTCCCTCGTACCTGGCTGTAATCGACGTAGCCCTTGTAGAAAGCGAAGTCCGAGGGCGACATAAGCTGGGAAACCAGCGCCTCATACTCAAGGTAGCCGGTGCCCTGTCGCGTCAAAAGCAGAACGCAGAAAAGAAAGATTTCAGAATGAGGATGTGGGTTGCACTAAAATTGGCCAGGATTGACCGATACTCAGGACTTGGGTCACGCAGAACTCAGTGTACCAGGATTTGGGTTGCACGCAAAAGGTGAGCATACACTTATCTGACCTGCGATGCAGCGCCAACCTCTACTCTTATTCAGAGTGTATACTAACCAGCTCGAGCTATGACAACTGTCTCCAACCAAACCCGTCCAAGAGCGACCCCCCCTGTCGTACCCACCTCAGGGTCGTACACAAAGTACAACGCCATGAGCGAGTCGTCGTCCAGCTGCATGCCGAACGTCTCTGCCATGTTGCGGAAGTCTTCGAAGTGCACACGACCCGTGTCGTCCTTATCGTACATCTTAAACAGTCTACGCATGCGGAAGGCGTTGTTGTTGCTGTTGCCTAGCTTGGCCTCCATGCGCTCACGCATGGTGCTAATCATCTTTTGGAGCCGCTTCCTGCGGGACACAAATGGTACATGACACGCATAAACACCGTCATTACACGGCACAGAATGGCACGAAGGTGGGCCGCGATGTGCGGCTTGCATGCGGAGCCCAAGTAGTTCGACCGGTGCGGAGTGCTGCTAAATAAAAACCCCAAGCGCTGACGATTGCGCACTGTGGACACGCGGAAAGAGATGGAAGGGACGTGACGAGTTCAGCCCAGAGGCTGCTGCATGCTGTGTAAGAGCCCGTCATCCCATTTAGGGATGGCGGCCCTGATCTAGAAGCGGAATGCAGTCCTAGTGGCTGTGGGGTTTCAAGACTGTATTGATTCGTGTACCCATTAATTTTGCAGGTGTGTTGACAGCATCAAACGGCTTGTTGCACACGTAAAACTGTTGCATACGTGACTGCGTGATGATATTTTCACGAGTTCCATGTCTATGCAACTAAGGATACCTGCTAAAGTCCCGCAATCTTCTGCTGCATCTCTAGCGAAAGGGTTCCTCCTTCCAGGTTGCCAAACCCGTCCCATGCTTAACCGGGGCTGTAACCCTTCCTAAGGGTCTATGGTCGCCCCCTCGTAGCCCCTCTGCATTTAGTGACTCCGTCTTCCCTCTCCACTGTGCAAGGTTCTGGGATGCATGATTAGAATCCGGGCACTTACTCTCCCACGCGGTTGAAGGAGCTCTTATAGATGTTGGCTAAGCTGGACGTGGTCTTGACCAGGTCTTCATTACGGTTCGGGCTGCGAAGCCGTTCTTGCCCATCGAATGGGGCCTTGAAGTCCACGCCATAAGAAGTCCGGAACGGCATGATGCGCTCGTCGCCCAGTGCAATGTTACTAGCTGGTGGCTTAAAGGACGCCTGGATAGCTGTGTCTTGAAGGGATGGCCACAGATTACCAGGCTGGGGCTTCCTAAAGTTCTCTGGATCATTGCACGGGTCCCGCACAGGCGAGGGCTTAGGGGCTGTTTGGGTCCTCGTATAGATGAACGACTCTGGCGTTGGGTCCTTCGTCTCGAGCTGTGCCATTACCGGTGTCTTCTTGTATGTCTCCTGAAGCCCTTGGACGTATCCAGTATACCTGCGTTTGGAAGGGAGGCAGTCTGGGTTCGCGTGCAGACCATCATGCTAGCCAGTCGACCGACGCCCCAGACACGCAAGGACTGGAGGGTACTCTATAAGATGAACAGAATCTACTTGTAACAAGACATATATCCTTCCGCGCGAAACTTCAATCTGACAATAGCATGGAGCATGCGCGGCGCCGTTCCTTTGTCCACGCACCCTGGAATCTTCCATTCTGGCTCAGTGAACGGAACCTTGGCGGTTGACATCGTTTCTTTTCGGCGGTTCCTTGTGAAATCACAGACAGACGCAAAGGGTTCTTTATCCAATAGCAGCGTTACTGAAACAATATATTAGCTTAGTAGTGTTTCCTCTATGCGCGTTATGTAAAGATTATAAAATTGCCCTGTCCATACAAGGCATTTAACGCGCAAGGTATAAGGACCCTCCGCATAAGGCCTCCAATTTTGGCGAGCTCTAAGTCACCTATTTCATGCACAGCGCCTCACGGCTTTCCTACCTGAATTATAAACAGCCACTGCACCATGCATCGGGGCCTTCTCCGCGGCAGCTCACTGTCGATGATGCCACGACCCCAAAATCGATTACTACAGGCGTCTTTATTAAGTAGTGACCTTACCTTCTGCAATTCCTTGACCTTATACGAATTAGGCTCTGGAGAGCAGCCGTTGACAGTTTGGGAACGCAAGGCCGTGTTGCTTGGAGGCTGCCTAACTGTCAAGTACCGCGTGTTGTTGGCATATTGACGGCATATTGACATAGGTGGACGGTTTGACCTAGATGGGGTATGTTGGCATCGTCTGCATGCTTCCCTTTGGTAGCGAGCCTCCATAAACCTTCCAGACCAGTCATGTAACTTGCAGCCGTATGATGCACTATCCAAAAGTCATGCCGGTGCTTGCCCGGGGGGCCAGGGAGATCTACAGAGTGATACCGGTTGCTGTTACGCTAAACCACTTTTGCATAGCAATATCATACCCTAGTTTCCAGGTAGGGTTCTCGGAGAGTCGGAAGTGCAAGGAGCTGGCGGCGCAACCTTCTGCAAACAGAATTCCCTGGTGCATTGTTACACCGCATTGTTATCCTTCATCCACAACGACATAGCCCTTGAATCTCGTCTGTGCCTCTAAGCGTGCAAGCCCCGTTTGGGACAAATTGAGACGGCGCCCTTCGAAACTTACCCGCCCCACACGCCGTGTGTTGCTGCAGCTCTTGCCCTTTTGCTATAGGCCGCGGCCCTTGCAGCCATAACTATGTAGCTTCCCAACCTGCCTCTCAAATCCCATCTGCGCCCGCCAACTACATGCACAAGCTCAAAACTATTTCTACGTGTAAGACGCTCCCGTTTCCTGCAAGGAATATGCGAGGATCCATCATTTTTGCCTCAGATTGCATCCCTCTGTTTCTGCCCAGTACGGGCAGCAAGCCCGCCCGTCATAGCTTATGTTACGCCATCATGGCGCCACATGATCATCATCATCTCGTCATAGCCCCCTCTCGCTTAACCCGTACATACAGCCCGCCAAGAGTAGACATTAAAATGGTACAAACGACACCACCAGTAAAACCCAGTCACGGCGACATTGCCGGTACACTCGACTCGTAATCCACTCAACGCACGTTCAGTTGGTTCGTTAGTTGGTTCGTCGCGCACACACACGAAAATATGTTTGTTGCTTGAGAAAAACAAAAGCACTCGCTACCAGTACCAACAATGGACGCATACTTGCCCCTTCCTAATAAGCCCCCTCAGTTCCTTTCTGTCCAGCTACACAGCAAGCACGAAAACAAGCACCGAACAGCCCAACCGCCCACGCTCAGCTCACTAAATCTTTGTCTCCACCTGCCAACCTCTCTCTTGTCTAGCGTCTGTGGTCCATCTTTCCCCTACGAACCGAACCGAGGACATACCACTCGCGTATCGCATCACAAGGCAGCCCCTCCATGGTTTACCACTCCCCCCGCCCACATACGCACCAACCTCTACATGAAGGAACGGGTGAATGACGTCATGGAGTGGACATCCGACCTACTGGATCACCACTAATGCTGGCCCCACCGTAGCACCATAAAATCCATTTACAACTTGCTAGAAACACCGGATCCGAATCCAGAACCGACGGCAGAGTCACGGTTATGGTTGCCATTGCCATCACCCTTGCCGTTGTTGCCGTCGTCGTCGTCGTCGTCTGCCGCCAGAAAGAACTTTAGTGCTGTTGTTGCCACTAGCCGGGGGTCTTCCATCGGGCCCAAGTGGTGCAAAGAAGGAAATCTGTGCGGCCGAGGGAGAGATACGAGGGGGAGAGGGAGGGAGAGGGAGCATCATGAATTAATGATGGAACGGAAGGAAGTCGTGTCGGCATAGCACCTGGGTGAGGATGATGCACACCGTGAAGATACATACATACATACGTACGTACACAGAAATGGATCCCCAAGGCGCGTCGAGGCAAGGTAGGCAAATGGAAAGCCGCTGCCAGCTGCTCCCGTGTTGTCTTAATTGTGTTGATGAAGCCCAACGAAGCTATAACGCTAAAAGCTGGCTATTGCTGTACGACTGATGTAAAGCCCTAGGCTCGGCTAATGCGCTTTCTTCCTTCCAACATCCAGCTCTAAACACTAGGCGGCCAATAGCTCCGAACCCAAACGTCGTGCATTCTCCGGTTCGTTGACAGCATTTACCGTCGCGAAGGCTGTGAAGCACCCACCAAAGAGATGCACCCACCATCTCCCCACCCACCACGACACCTCACGTAATACCCCTCATCGCATCCTGACCCTCCCCATCAAGCCCCACCCACTCACCGAGCTAATTTGGCTCCAGGAACCAGCTGCGCGACCTCCGCGCCCCACCTGGCCAGCTGGGCGTGTAGACCCACTTCCTGCCCCACCGCAATGGCAATACGGCAATAGGGACCCTGGTGGCCCATGGATCCATCCCTTTCCCCTCGCCTTTCCCGCCTCCGGTGGCAATTGCTGTTGCTGTTGCCACTGCCGTCTGAATAGCTACTGCCATCACCGCAGCCATCCTCACGTGCTTTGGCCTCGCCCTCTCCCCCTTTCCCGCTCTCAACCTCTATCATCCTCTGCTGCTGAGAGCGGCCGTTACCGCAACTACCGCAGTCACCGCCGCAATCAACACCGCATCCACTGCCGCAACATCCGCAGTCACCGACCCGCGGGTCGCTTCCGAAACCAGAAGTAGTCACTCCCAGCTGCTGCCATGGTCTCCAGGGAGGGGGCTCAAGGGCCTCGTACACTCTGGCCTCATTTTCCGGCGAACATGACAGCGTCAGTGCCGGGGCACCAGGGGCTGTAGCTCCGGCTGTAGTTGTTGCCCCCGGCTGTTCGAGGGGTCGTAACCCACCACACGCCAGATATGCATGGAGCGCCTGAAAGGAAGAGGGGGCGAAAGAGAAGGAAGGAAAAGGAGAAATCATAGGGAAAAAAGGAGAGGCAATGAAGGGAAGGGGAGAATCACATGCAAAAGTCAAAGGAAGATATTAAAAGGAAAGAAGGGTGGAAAGAAGGGGAGTTAGAGGCAGCAACGAGGAAACCCACCAACAAATCTCCACATGTGGAGATTTGTTTTATCAACACTTGAATCCTCCCCCCAAAACCTCGGGGGTGGACTCCCCGTTGAGACATTCCACTCCTTCCCTTTCGTAACCCACATAACTCCTCCAACGTCGCCTTCCGGGCCCCGTTCACCGTTTCGAGTCGTTGGACGAGGAGCGGAGGCTTCTTCAGCGTTCATCCTAGAGAGACCTATTAAAACCTTTTTTTCTTGTCGTACCTGCGGATCCCAGGTGTTGAACGGGGGTTTGGCGCCCAGTGACGTCATGGCGGCTCCCAGGGTCGGGTACACCGCCTGAGGGAACAAGGAGTGTGAGTGTGTGTGTGTGTGTGTGTGTGTGTGTGTCTCATACCACCGGACACATCCACATCTACACACGTGCATATACATATCTACATGTACATCTTTATGTCTGACGACATAGAGAGATAAATAGTATGTGCACACAGATATACATGACACCTATATACACGCATACGCACTCGCTGCTGCAGAAACCTCCCACCCTTACGCGTCGCGGCATAGTTCATTTAAACCACACACCTGCCGCTTCCGGGCCAAGCGGGCCAACAAGCTCCCCGACCTAGCCAGCCCCGAGGACGAAGAAGAAGACGGCCCCGAAACCAACGACGGCGATGGCCCACAACCGCCGCCTGCACCCTCACTAATATTGCCACTGCTGCCATTCATGGGCGCAGACGCAGTGCCGCTGCTGCCGCCGCCGCCAGGTGTTGGCGTTCGTGGATGTAGCGGCGTTTGCTCTCCCCCTCGATGGAGGTCCTTGAAGGGCCTTATGACCGGTTCGAAGAGAAACATAGCCCTGAGGTGCATCACATCATTAACAACACCATTATCGTCATCAGCAGCATCAGCAGCCGCAGCCGCAGGACGGCTATGGTGACGACGGCTGTTATGGGACTTCTTTGGATCGGAATGAATTAGTTCTCAGCTCAAAGTTACCAAGGCAGGGCCCAAGGGCCTCCCCCCACCGCCCGACCCATGTGAACCCCACCTGAAGGTCTGGGGTCGCTCGAACTGCAGCAGAGCAGCCAATCCGCCGCCCAGGCTATGGCCAAAGCAGTAACATTCTGTTTGAGATGATGTTATTGATGAAGTAAAGAATCCGCAAGGAAAGCCGAGGAGGTCAGATCAGCTGTCTACGTGGGGAAGGGAGTTTGTTGTGCAGAAACAGCGCACCGACCCTGGATGCCTTGTGATTCGACATAATCTCGAACAGCCCCCACCATGTCCTCGGCAGTGAAGGGACCTTCAGGAGTCGGTGCGCTGCCATGGCCGGGAAGGTCTAAAGATACACAGCGGAAATGCGGTGCAAGGATTGGCACCTGCAGGGTACAACCACCGGATTTGCGATCACTAAGATCACAAGCCTTTATGATATATGCCTAAAGGTCGATTGCCGAAGCTTACCATAGGGAGGAACACACGTCCGTGGAAGCCATTGGCGTGCAGTAGGAGGAGCAAGGGCCCTTCCTTGCCACCCAGATCATGAACTGCAACGCCTAGCCGATGCTTTGTATCCATTTTGCAGTAGGAAACCTATCCCATACAAAGCAAGCTTGCTGTTCCAGGCGGTGCCGCAGCCTCAGGGTTTCCACTAAACAGTTGGGGAAGACGCTAGACTGCTAAAACATTTCCATTACCGTATTTGCATTCGGATGAAAGAAGTTTTGTCAGCAGCTGTGACAGCTAAAGATATTAGTCACCCAGTTGACCCCTTGCACATCATTCAGCAAATGAATTAAGCATGCAAGAAAATTTACATATGTTGAGCTCACTCAGATGGTATGGAAAACACTTTTGATGGTGCGACAAGGGGAGGGTTCCAAACGGCATTCCGTTGACCTGCGTACGTAAACGATGCCCTGATGAGCATACAAACATGTTCTTGACTGTGCCATCGAGGACAGGATTAACGCGGGCTCCACCGATCAAGCTACGGACGCAATAGGGCCGGCACCGCGTGCCCGCCTAGGCAAGACGCCCGGAGGGCCCTGACTCGAAGTGAGCCCCAC